TTGCATTATGCACTACTTGTCTTTTCATAAAATAACCACATTTTCGCGATGAACTTTTATTTTGCACGGCGGTAATTGGTAGACTTCCAGAGAGAAGAAAAATTGTTACTCGTAATGTTTTGTTTGGGTAGTCAATCATTATGCAGCCCTATTTAATTATTGTAATCAACAAGCCCGGATACAGCAGCTACGCTTCAAGATACAAGCATAACACGGAAATTTACTATATGTTTCAGGCATACGCATTATGCACTACAGATAACCCAATGCGTTTTAAACACATGGCGGCTTCCCGTAATGTGGCAATCGCAAAGCAATTTATTAGGAAACGATTGGCCAAATTTATCTCTTTATAGCTGTGCTTCATCAGCCACACAAAAAACGACCACTACAGTATGAATGATATTGGTTCGAGTGTTGTGCTACAAAATCACCTTGTTTTGAATAAGATTCTGAAATCGTCATGAACGTTTCTCTAAATGCATCTTATTTTTCTAAAGGCCGTGTGAAATGACGAATCGTAAAATTACTGAGGGCATGCGAACTTCTCAATGATGAAACAGAGGAATATTCATTACGCATTGCATTCTTCACACGAACACTGCTGACGATAATAATCCAGTGATTCAGGTTTTTCATGCGTGTCTCATCTTACTCTTAACAAAAGTGTCTGATTAATGAAATCAACGAAGTCGTAAATGAACTGTAGCTGATGATCTTTTGAAGGCACTGTCTTTAGTCAGGTATTTTCCATGTAAATTATCAAAGCATGAAGTTGTCATTCCGTAAAACGACGAGGAAATGAAGTTTGCGATACGCATGATTAATTGTTGGGTATTCACGCACTGACTGCCTTATTTTCCGTGCATTTGAAGGTTTCCAACTCATAAATTATCATGTTTACAATAGATGCAATAATGTCATTGAGAAATGACCTCAGCACCGGTATTTNAACAGTAAATTATGTTCATTGCAATTTGTTTTTCATTATAAAACCGCTCATTATTGTGGCTATTCTATTCAACGAGAACATTCTCATCTTCTATTTCATAAATGGAAATTTCTGAATGGGCATGAATGGTTCAATTGATGGTTTTGAGGAGGATGAATGAACTTATTTGCTCTACTAATGAGGACTGTAATTCAACTGAAAATTGAATGTTAAGTAATTGGAAGTTCACTTACATTCATCCAGTCAATTCAACATTGGCCGATCATTTCTTGTAATTCGCTCATCGGACTTTCCAGCTCATCAATCTCACAAAGCTTTCAATTATCAGCGATTGTGTGGGAGTCATCCTCATTAAGGTTGTCCGTGTCGATAATACAACAGATATCGCCAATCAGAGTTTATTCAACTTCAGTCATTTCACATGTTTTTGACAGCGACAAATCGTTCACCTGACTGAACTGCCTGTGCTTAATCAACTATATTCCATTTTTAACCAGAAAATTCAGTTGATTTTTTTTTTCTATCATGAATTCGATAATGCACACATAAACATGTGAGGATTACTGTCGTGCTAAGTTTAGCGACGAATTTGAAAAAAATCACTTCCAAGAAATCTTTGTCATTAGTTCCTTTCATAAGTTATCTGTGGAAAGAGTGCAAATAAATTGCAGTAAACAAAGCAGTTCGACAAACCGAGCAGATTGGCCGTGAGTGTCTTCTGTAAAAATGTGAGCAATGCTCGATAGGAAAGCAGGAATGATGTTGGTAGTAAGAACTTCTCAACCGATAAGCACAGTTTATCACAACCAGAGAAGATTTTTCTGGACAGAACGGTGGTTATTGTTTGGAGATGACTTCGGTTGTGAATCTGNCAGCACTTCATAGAGGCAATTTTCAATAGTACATGTGACCGTTGCGTGGAATTCCCGTAAACATGCACTGTAAAGTTAATCAAGAATTTTTTAGCTTTCTTGCATGCAAAGGTCACGTCAAAGAGTCAGTGATCGATAGGTCACATTCTTGTTAGTGACCGCACTGCGATTACTTCGAGCATGCGAATTCTCGAATTGCTGAATATTGACATCAAATCAAGAACATCAATTGGCCAGGAAATGCCTCAGATACGAAGCAGTGTCGATTAGAACGTATTTCTTCTCACAATCCCCATTTAAGAAACTCAATTTTCCAAAGGTCTCATCAGAATTAAGAAGGAAATTGTTATTTTAAATGTCGGTTAACATTAAAAATGACTAAAAATGTTAACATCGCATTTTAACGATTATTATTGCACGTTGCTGTTTGATTTAAATTAAAGTTTAAATTAAATTTAATTAAATTTAAGTTAAATTTAAATTAAATTCACGTTTAAATTAAATTATTTAATTTAAATTAAAGTCTATTGAAACATATGACTTTGACTAAAAATGTTCGATTGAATGTTTGATTGAAAAGTTAAAAGGGCATCTGAGGGTATTTATTGAATTGGTCAAACAAATTCACTTCTCGCAAAATCCCATTCGCTTCTCGATAGAATGACATTAGCTCGAATCAGTGTTTAGTCATTACGAATTTGTTTCTCAAAGATTCTTTCATTCGATCAAGCGGATTATTTCAAATTGATATCAACTTGAACATTTCATGAGAATCTTGGAGATGTTTGGGGAGTTTCATAGTTGAAAGGTTCCATACATCATGGAAAAACATGAAAGCTGCCATTTCTGTGTTATCGACAATGATATTTTTTCAAAGCAATCCAGTGATATTGTTGAATTGGATGAGTTCTCTCGCTTACTTCATAATCATCAGCAACACTAATAACTACAAAAAGTGACCAAGCATATTTCATTGAAATGATAAAATCTTACATTGTTTTGCACAAGCACAATACTTGTTCAAACAAACAATTCTCGGCTATGCTCAAGTTTGAATGCATCTTGTTAATGATGTCCTAAATTGTTTTCAGTACAGACGAAAAAGCAGAAGGCTAGAAGATAGGACGCAATCAAGCGACAAGGCCAGGCCTCAGTCATTCCGTATCGCCCGCCCATCACCTTTAACGGCCTCCATCTATGCACGTGTGAAATGCATCTAGTTAGCTCTTACTAGCAGATTTCCTTACCATCCGATAGAAATTCGCAGCTATGGAATGTGTATCGGTGTGTTATTAAACTCTTAAGTACCATTCTGTTGTCTATGATTATTGATGTCTGTCTGTATGTCTGTATTCTATTCCTGTTCTATTCCAAAGAAAAGAATGGAACAGTTCGGAAATAAGGAACGCACAGAATAGAATAGAGCCTTTTTTGGGACTAGATCTCCGGATAAATGTTGACTCGTCTGCATGATCATATTTTGAAATGCTATGTTGCGTTTTGAAATGAAAACTTCTTCTGCAGCTCTGAAAAAAAAAACTTCTGAAACTCTGAAACAAATGAATCATAACGTGCGTCCACTTATCATCACTATATTTAAGCCAAGCCGATCGCTTCGGATTCGAGAGAATTTTCTGATGTCAGGAAAAGTATCCTAAGAAATTTGTTCAGCTAGGTTGTGTTGTTCAGCATTACTAACCTATGACACGTGCTCATGGATTGCGGACTACGTGATGCCATGATGTAATTTGATTTTTGTATCGCTTTGTACGAATATTGCTTGATAATTGACGGCAGCAATTTAAAAATGTGGTTGGATAAGTGAGCGCGTGGCAATCGTTTTGTGAACGTTGAGTTCATTTTGCAATATTTCTATTCGCTGCTGCTTTTTGTCCATCGAATGATCTCCATCAGGATGCTCCAAACAAAATAAGACGATAGTTCACGACTAGTGGAAAAACTGTCTTCAACTGTAAACTTCCAAAAATCATTGCTTATAGGTTTTCGCAGAGTTGATGAGAACATATGAGACTCAAAAGGAGAAAATCAGTGAGCTGTATGTTCATCAAGCAGTAGAAAACAGATATGAACAATATTAGCTGAGAGCATTTGGATAATTCGACTCGTAGTTGACTGTAGTGATGTACACAATGGAAATTTTATGATTCGATTGAATTCCGCTGAAATAAATCCGATAAAGAATGATCGTGTCAAAATGTTGCGTGTGAATTGTCTCACGGTTTTCTCTTTTTCGATAATCTAACCGATGCATATTCATTCACTTTGCAAAAACTGAAGTCTGATGAAACAGTCATGTGATTAGGTCGTATCAAACATGTGAAATCTCACATGAATCGTGTCGTATTGCTCGATTGCAGTTGAAATATGACTAACTCATATTTCCGGTGTCATATCATCATCATCATAAGATATGGGTTTGAAATTCAAAGACTGTGGTGAGAAAATGAGCAATTACTGATTAATCGGACACAATTCGTGGTCAAAAATTGTTTGTGACTAAAAATTTCACGAGGAAACTGTTCTACTGCGGAAAACTCCGACATACCAAAATATCAGAACTTATCGTTAAATCATCTCTTGTATTCATTCTGCTTGATCGGAACATTTTGAATCCAATATTCACTATAATGGACGAACATATCTTGGCAACAGTAATAAACGTAGATGTGTTATTTATGATTTTTACCATTTCAAAAATGTTACCAAAATGGCTATTATTATCAAATGTTACCGTGAAGATTCTCATAAATTGGGCAGCATTTTTGAGCACAAACCAATAATGGATTATTGCAACAATATCGGATTTTGCATTTCATTGCGACACGCCCAGTTCGAGATTAGTAATTGCGAAGCATCAAAACAATCATTGTGTAAGTGCTCTACGTTGAAATAAATCTCGTGCGTTTTGATCGACCTGATTTGTGTCCCTTTCGCTCGTATCTAAAGCAAAATTGTTCTTCTTGGAAACCATTTGAGATACTTAACAACGTTTGCTGATTCTCATTTTTTATTATTAGATTAGGATGTTCTCTAGGATCTCTTGAAATACTGCCACGATGTCATTCAATACGGTTCTATCTTGCAGCTTTGTTGGTTGAATATTGGAAAATTTTCGGATGTTTTACATGAATTTCATGAATTTCAGCAAAGTTTCCATGACAGCCACTGTAGAAGTGAATGGTTCGGCAATAGCAATTGCTATTTTCTATTTGATCTATTCGATTGCATGCATTGCACTGCATATTCTCGAAATAATCGCATGCGTACGAGTATCACGCAAATTTGTCGGCTTTCGTTTCATCGTTCATCAGTCTTCGGCAGATATTTTAACGCTCTTGGAATATGGTATTTGCGAGGGCATTATGGTGCTCACAAACAAGGCTCTCAATACGCAAACAAAGCGATTGTTCATGAACGTCTTCAGCAGTTTCGTCACGTAAGTTGTCACGTGCTCAAATTTGTACTTATTACACGATATGTGACTGGTGCGGGTGTGAATTATTGCGTAGCGATGTTGTTATGTGTGTTCTGATCAGCAATTACAACTCATTACGAGATTATGCCTCTCTCTTACCACCACCAACATCCTTCTTGCCAGATAATGGCACAGGAGATTGATTATTCATCTCCATAAAATTGTAAATTCAATTACCGATCCGGCCAACATTCAGTGTCATAATATCAGTGAAGTGGTGAGTTGTACGATATTCAAGTGCTGATCATGTTTCCGATCTATATTCTGAAAGCTTTTCAACGAACTGTTTAGTCGCGTATTGCAACCAACTGATTGCAAAGATATTAGTGCTTGCGGTGCGCTGTGTTCATTGGGCAATGCTCTTTGAGCAACTATCAACAGAAAAAAAATTGAAGCAAACATTTTGATGGCGTTGGTCAAA